TGCTGCTGTTGCTACTGCTACTACTGCTGCTGCTGCTGCTGCTGATACTGCTGCTGCTGTTGCTACTGCTACATCTGATTTGCATCAGCATGGTACAGCACTTGGTCACAATGCGTGCTACGAGGCAGTATATGAGCAGAACATACACGTACCGACTGGTTCCCCGCTAGGCAGCACTGCCGTGAAAGCTCCACCGCCTTCACCGTACTTCAGAATGATCTTATGCAGGTCGAGTTCGATGTCCTGTGTGCCTAACAACTTCCACCATCTCAGCACATGTATCAGATCCGACTCGATGGCATCCCTGATCGTACACCCGTCCGCCATGATGCCTCGAATAGTCGGTGTAGCCTTTCACTCCACATTAATATATGATTACAACAGGAGCACATGAACTAGTTTATTTGCGTCAAAAGATTATATAGTGAAGCGTACAGTCCATGTAGGGTTATCTCTAGTTTCGGTTCATTCGCATAGCGTGCTCCCAGGCTATCTGGACAGGCCATGGCCAGGATTAACCTTGTCCTACATTTGCTTTACTCCTGGATCAATAAAGTGACCAATTTATTCACCTTACTTTGCTCCCCTCTCTCTTGTTTGTGCAGGCTTTAGTTATCTATTACTCTCTTTCTCTCTCTGTTTTTACCTCGCTTTTCTGCTCTCTGTATTTTCTTCCTTCACACTTTATTACCCTCTGTTCCTCCTTTTGCCCCTCTCTAGTATTTCCCTCCCCCTCTCTCTATCTCGCTCAGTAGTCTCGCCACTTCTCCCTCCCCCTTATCACCTATTGCTCTCCCTCACCTTAATTCCTCTCTACTGCTCTCAAATGTCCTCCAGTCAATTCTGCTCAGTACTAAATAACGTTCTCACCTCATTAAAATCTAGCAGATGACGTTTAGAGGTAAACATAAACATATATATAAACTTTTTTTTTGATGATCAGTATTAAAAACATGTTACCGTTTACAAAAAATGCAAAAAAGGAATCTTGTCTAATCCTTCAGGATGGTGTGAGACTACAATCTAGTTATTACCAAGTTAGATTAGTCTGTTTATTTATCATAAACATAAATATAAACCGTTTTATGATGATCAGTATTTTTGATACACATATTTTTCAGATTGATTAACAGGTTAAACCGGTACTGTTTGCAAAAAATCCCAAGGAATCCTCTCTAATCCTTTCGTATGGCGTGAGACTGCAATAAACAAAATTATTGCCAAGTTAGATATTCTGGTTTGTCTGGTTGGTTTATCTATGGCTATTCCCCAACAGATGATGGTGCAGAGAGCATTGGCTGCCAAGAGCCTCTCTCATGCTCAGGGTGGGACACTGTTTGCTGGCTACCTCAAGATTTTGCCGATATTTATCATGGTTCTTCCGGGAATGATAAGTCGTGTACTATTCACAGGTGAGGACATTTCTATGTCTAATGACCATTCGGGATATCAAAAGAACGACGTGAAGTTGCAGTAATTTCAGATTCGTTGACATTATTCTGAGCTAGCGTATGAGATAGCAATGACTGGCACAACATTTTATATCATTTTACAATAAATGCGATTTTCACCGATGTCGCCTCATCTATCCCCTGCACACAGATCTCGTGGCGTGTGTTGACCCTGACGTGTGTGAGAGGGCGTGCGGTAGCCGCACCTCCTGCAGCAACCTTGCCTACCCTCTCCTGGTCTTCAAGCTGATGCCCAGCGGTACGTACGTAAGCCATTTACAGTTTGCAATAGATATTATTCATCCGTAGACAGACCTATTTTTGCATCATCTTCTTGATGTAACACAACTAGTGATGGGAATCGGTTGGAATTTCATCATCGATCATCGCTTGCACCCTTACAGTCGATAATCGATTATTTATTTTCATAATCGCACGTTTAGTCGGTTGCTGCAAACGACTGACTTTCGATTATAATCGATCATCGGGACATCACTAAACACAACCACCTTTTTTTTGACATTGCTATGTCATATGTACTTAAGCTTGAGGTTTTGACAAATTTTGATTTTATTGTGATTCATATAGTTAGTTATGCTCATAGGGTCTATGTCCCCCAGGGTACTGCCGGAACGTACCCTGGTTACGGTCCGGTATACCGGAACGTACCCTGGTAACTATTTGATATGGTTAGGGTTAAGGAGTAGGCGTAGGCGACTCATTAGTGGAGTAGGCGAGGTACGGTCCGGCATATTAGATAGTACCAGCAGAGCATATAAATCACGTTGCTTTATACGCTCTGGTACCAGGGTACGTTTCATCAGTACCCTGGGGGACATAGACCCTCTCAGCGTTAGTTATAGGTAATATTCTTATCGCATGCCAAAGGTGCGAGAGGCGTGATGGTGGCGGTGATGTTGGCGGCTCTTATCAGTGACCTGACATCAATCTTCAACAGCAGCAGCACTCTGTTCACCATCGATATCTACACGCACATCCGTAAGAAGGCGTCTGTGAAAGAGCTGATGATTGTTGGCAGGTGAGTAATGTTGGGCCCAGCCCCTCCACTCAGTGTTATTTAGGGTACGCATATGCTCGTTCCCTCCCTTTGAAAGCACCCCCCTATCTCAGGACTGCCAAAATTTCTGAACCCCCCTTTCGCGGGCTTTTTGCGGGTTTTTCCTGCCTTGGAGAACCCCCTAAATCTGGAACACTACGTATAGACTGGTACCCGTTCGCCACCTTCACTCCGGTACGTATCCTTCGCTACACAGACGTAGTGAC